CGCTGCAGCTCAGCCGCACGTTCCTCTCGCTGCAGCTCAGCCGCACGTTCCTCTCGCTGCAGCTCAGCCGCACGTTCCTCTCGCTGCATTTGCGCTTCTCTCTCCTCTCGTCGCAGCTGGGCTTCCAGTTGCATCTTCATTATTTCCAGTTGCAGGCTCCTCTTACTACAGCTGGACCTTCCACTGCTCCCATGTTCACTGTGAATTCTCTCCACACTGGTAGGCGCTTGGGGAGGCCCTAGTCGGGACGGTTCACCTTGCGACGGCTCTCCTCGGGACAGCTCCTCTTGAGATGGCTCCTCTCCCGTCGCTTCCTCTCGAGCTGTGAGCTGTGCCATGATCTCTATCCTTCGCTCCGCTACCTTAGTCGTCCTCAACCTGATCCCAAAGTGGTTTGCCACTTGTTGGAGCTGGGCCTTGGTACACTCTTCCAAAATTCTCTCGTCCCTTGTGTCAATAAATTTCTTTACTTTGTCTTCCTCCATCTCTATATCATCAAGCATACACGACAGCACAGACAAGTTAGTAGGCACTAATTTCACCGTTTCAGTCCCTTAGCCGGTTGAGTAACAGTACCACCGAATTCACTGGCCACACTGTATTAGTACCCTGGCAACACTTGTCTTGAAATTTGGTCCACACTGTAGCTTGATCCACGCTTCCTGGCGAGGTTCCCAGTTCTTGGCTACTGGGGTTCGAATCCTGGCAAGGTCGCCAGTTCTCTTGTCACGTGGGGGTGGGCGGTCCGGGGCTCTGCTAACACTCGGCTGCTAGGGGCTCAAAGGGCCCAAATACTCAGCCCCTCCGACTCCCTGGATTCACCGGAGTCTCCTTGGTCACACAAGATAGGACCAACAATGCCCACCTCCGCAGGTCTTTGCTTCCACCACAAAGGGGTGCCACTGATTCACCCTGGAAGCCCTTCAGTCAACCACGGGGAAACTGCTGTTAACAGCTCCGGCCTAGACCCGTGGGGGAGTGAAGGAAGACTCAGGCTTACCTATAACCATAACCTCCCTGAGTCTTGCCTGCCAGACAAAAAAAAGGTTGCAGGAACTCCTTTCCTGCCTGTCTTCTCTATCTTCCTCTTAGCAAGGTCGCCAGCTGGGTTATTATATCTGCACCCCAGCAATGCAGTTCAGTGGGTGTATCATATATCGTTTGTAGCCAGAAATGTATGCTCATAGAGAAATATCACAAATGGAGGCACACTCAAACACAGTAATAAAATGTGTGGATTTACTGACGCAAATTACATGAACACACACACACAATCACAAGTAATACATGAATATGGAATATGGATAATGAGTCTGGAGATCGTCAGCCTCTTCTCCCACGACCTCCAACACTCCTTCAAATGGGCAGGAAGACAGGAGTCTCACACTCTCACAGGAGGGCCTCTTCACCACGTCGGCACCTCTTCTTCACTGTCCTGCCATCCATACACACTGTCCTCTCTGACAGTCCTGGACACAAGCTGCATTGCAGCCTATTCTACCATTAAAGCAATAAAGTCTTGCTGCCACATACACAAGTAAATATTGTGGCCTAACTAGCCTACTCATACAAGGGGTAATGGGAGGGAAAAATGATCTACCTTACACTCCTGGCTCACGACGCCTGTCCCTCGATGGTGTGAGGTTCCCACGCTTCCTTGGGTCGATCCTCGACGATCCAGGGCGTTCCACAGGTCCTCAGGTGTCGTGAAGCCTTCGCGTCGTCGCCGTTCCAATCCCTGAGATTCAGCTGCCCCAATCCTGGTTCATCGATGGGCGCTGAGCTAATCACTATTTTTTCCCCACACTCGCCTCTCCCACAGGGCGTCGCTCCTTGTCCTAGGCACGGTGTCGTCCTTCAAAGATTCTCAGTGGATGTGACCCCAGTCACAGCTAGCTTGCTCGCCCACCTTCCAGACCTCAACGTCCAGCCAGCGGCGCCGCCCAGCGTCGTCGCCGACTATTTTTCAAGTTTGGGCACTTCTCTGCTCACTGAACTTGGTTCCTCTTTTGCTTCCCAGAAGCGCAGGGTCTCCAATAACGGTGGTAGGCTGCGCAGGCCAGCTCAATCCACTGAACAAGGCTTGCAGAGCCTCCAATCCCTGAGAGCAGACCGAGGCGCGTCCTGTCGCTTCCACGGTCAGTACAACTCTGACGTTGGCGCCGCCCGGGGCACTCGGTGACGTCATGGCGGGCCCTGATTTGTCGCCCGCGACCTACGTCGACCAATCCGCGATCGACTAATGTCCCTTCCAAAAGGTCACATCTGCCGTAGGGGATACTGTTTCATTTTATAACAGGGCGCCAATTTTCCTTTATTTACAACTTATAATATAACTTCCATGCCTTAACTGGCAGCCGGTCTGGTCGCCACATATATCATTAGACTCCCTGAACCTCAGAGAATCAGTAGGGAGAGCTGATATGACTCTTTAAGCCGGCAAACGAAAGAAGTAGGAGAGGGCACCGTAACAGATAAGACAGGAGAACTCAATCCAGTACAATTTCCTTGTACTCCTACCGTCCATGCTCAATCACATGGGCTGGACAGTAGAGCAATTACCTAGCTTCATGCAGTTTGGTGTTCAATTCCTGCCTGTCCCAAGTGCTGGACACCATTCCTTCCTCCTGTCCCATCCCAATCCTTATCCTGATCCCTTCCCACTGCTACACAGTCGTAATGGCTTGGCACTTCTAATAGTATAGATTGAAGGGAAGGGAACCATCTTGAGACAACTAGCAAGTGGTAACTGGAGATGTGAAGTTCATAGACTTGAAGACCATCAGTTTATCCCGTACATTTTAGGCAGGTGAGACAAAACACCTCATTTAAGAAAGCGTTCATCATCTGAAACTTATTTCCCTCTGCAACTTTTGCTATTACTGCATGCATCCAATGTGTGCACACAATCATTTGCATGTCTCTGGACTTAATCACTGTCAAGTTCTCACGAGCATCAGCCATGAAACTTACCTTTCAAGTTTACTATACATTTATGGCTCCCTGGAAGCCAAGTTCTGTGTGGCATTTGGGTTGAACACATTCAAGGCATATTTGATTACTGGCTGCACTTTGCTTCCTCCCCCTCCCCATCTTGTTTTTGGGTTACACAGGTATAGGTCAGGGAATGGTGTGAACACTTCCATAAAACTTTGGTTTCTTCTTCTTCGCATGTTAGTCCAGGGTGGAAGTCCCTGCAACCAAGTATTGACTATGGCCAAAATTGTACTACGATATATTTGAAAGCCATGACAAACATAACACAGGAATTAGCAAAACTGCATAGTGAAGATTTGAAATGGTGTTTTTTCCAACTCTAAAAGCCTTTCCTTTCACCACTGGAATTTCCTGTTGAGGCAGGACTGTTGGCAAAGGGGCATCTCTTCTCCCCAGGAAACTCTGGGGAGAAAGGGGAGCTTAGAAATAAAGCTTCAAGTCTTGTCGTAGTCTTATGTCTTTTAGAAAGGTGCTAGTAGACTACTAGCACCTTTCTGAGCAGGCTACTTTTATTAATTCTCATTTCTTTCCCAAGGTTTAAGTTTTGAAGCTGTTTAAGTCGGGTAGAATGCAAGGCCACCTGGAAGTCCTAGCTAGCCAGTCTCCGATTCCAAACACTCGGGAAACTTTTAATTTATATATGCAAGCTTTCCAGAGATTAGGCCAGGCTGGAATTCAGTACAGTAGTTGTCACCATCTCCCTTGTACGAGCAGAAGGTGGAAATGACATTTGAAGAGGCATGTACCTGCTGTCCATCCACTCTGTCCATGCACAGAGTCCATCACCACAATATTAGTGATGTAGTCAGGTAGTGGCAGTTTTCCTGCAAGGCCCATTCAATTTTAATTAAAAAAAAAATTTAGTTACAGATTTTAGACTTCTGTACAACTGTAGTATTTGGTACAATACTGTACCCAACTCATTCCATGCAAAGATTTTATAAACTGCCTATAAACTGCCCTCTACTTAACATTGTCTACTATAATAGACACAGTCTAGATAAACTGTCAAGTTCTGTTTAAGTTCCCTACTATGGTACAGAAGCATCACTGTCACTGGAACAGACTGAGCAATTTCTGACCTTAAATTCTGACACTGAACCGTTCATAGTCGTGCTACTGACACCAATGTTTACCAACATTTCTTATTCCTATTTCACACAGAATTCCCATATGCCCATACTTTGTGAGAATAACATTTTTATGCTTAAACTTATGATTTTCATGTATAAATTATGAGACTATGTTTCAAAGAGTCTAGCCAAAGTATAAAATAAGAGCGCCGAGTTTACAAGAGCTTTACTAACAGTTTACATAATAGAAGAGCTTGTGTGATTTAACCAAGTGACTTTTCTCCCCCACAGGATGAAATCTGGCAATAACAGGAAAAATTTAATTACTACAAATATACCCCCCACCCCATCACCTCCCATTTGTCTCTAAAATGTAGATTATGTTGAACCATAAGTTGATCTAGGCCAAATCCACAAAGCCATGTTTAAATGTTTCTCAATATACATAGCCCCAACACTTGAACATTTGCAATTTATTAAATTAGAGTGTAAAGTTTAACGTAAATTTCCCAATTATTAAAGCAGGACCATGTTGCTAGGCTAGCAAGATGCTATTGTAAATGTTAAAGTTTATAATTTCCAACCCCCAGATGCATTTAGCATAAACAGCAATTCCAACAAAATCAGAATGAACACATTCTTTGACTATTACAGGTATTTCTGCAACTATTCCTCGGCCCTTAAATGGTTAATTTAATTTCAAATGGTTTAACTAATCAAGTTCTACATCATGGTGTGCTACAATGCCACAACAGTTCATATAAGTGTAAAAAAAATAGCACTTGACAATTGAAGCATTTGAGGTAACTGCAGATTGTGGTCGAGGCTATTTAAGGGTCAAAATGGCACACACACACAATAAAGAGTTACTCACAAGTCAGAGATAGAAGAAGAGTACAAGGTATTTGCCTCTGTAGTCCTCGAGGTAATCTCCTTGAACTGCCCCCCTACTACTGCTTGACCCTTGAAGCTGGGTGCTGGCTTGGTGACGGCAACGGCTAAGCATCGTGAGGTAGTAGAAAAGTGGCGGTGCACTCTCACACTGGATAGTGTGCTGCGTGCAGCCTACGGATAAAACGCCACAATTAGTTACCATACTAGCACTGTAGTTTATCTAGCCCTCATGCATTTTTAAAATAGCTAGTCCAAGTACAATCAGTTAGTTCTAGAAATTTGTTAAAAGCCCTGTGGTCTCATGGTTAGCTCACTCAAATGTTTCAAACAGATGACCCAGGTTGAAGCTCATGGCTCACGTGTCATGACAACACTATTCCTTCACAGTTTGCCCCCCCTGCAGACCTGGATGTAAAATGAGTGCAGCATGTTCGAGAAACCAATAAGGCAAGGATTTAAAATAAGATGTGGGAGGGAGAGGTCCTGCAAATCTCATTAATCATCTAACCAGTCATAATATAAATGATACAGTGCTCATAATATAAATGAAGGCAAAGGCTAGGATAGCAAAGTACTGCCCTGTTTTGCAATTATTTTGCAAAACCTATTTTTCTTCATATGCTACTATTCTTTATTAATTTTCCTTTTAGCTTACCAAACACTAGAGGGTGTATAGTTAGGCATGTTCACTGTACAATCAACCATGTAGTTAAGCCCTACAACCAATCATAATGTGCAAGAATGATACATTCCCTCATTCATTGCGATTTGACGACTTGTACTGAATTTTGTAACTAGCTCATTCAGATTGTAACTTGCTTGTTAAATGAATTGTGGGGTTCAGCCCATTATGTGCCTCTGTAACCCTTTCCACTACCGCCCACAAGATGGGTATGGGGTGCATAATAAATGAATTAAACTAACTCAAAAGCACAGTCGAGTTTGTTGCAGACTTTAAATCAAGAATCCCAAGTTTGAATCCTGGCACGTTTCCTATTGCCTAAAGGCACTGTACATCTAAAGGCAAGTAATATAGGTACGTGGGAATTAATCAACTTTTAAGGTTACATCATGGGGAGGGTCTAGAGCTTGGGGATGGGGAATCTTGATACAAGCCTTATATGTATACTGTATATACACAGGCTGCCTGCCTGAATTATTTAAATAAAATTTTTGTGCCAGTGTTAAAAGTGCTTAATGTGGATACAGTGCTGCACTATTTTAATTTAGGTCCATAGTGCTGTACAATCTAGATACAGGATATCGTAACTTATTAACTTTGCCTGTAAACAGCTCCTGAACCTGCAAAATGCAAGTTGCCCAATTCTGTAAGTGTTCATAGGTTTGTTTAATTTAGGTAGGCTATTAGAGTCTGCAAGTTATCCCTACAAACTAAAACATTTGAAATAAACTTTAAGCAGTAGTCAGCACAGTGGCTCAATTTAACGATCCGGAAGTTAGCCAACTTGTCGGTTGCTTTCTGCGAGTAGTCGATAGTTGGCCAAAGTACACACACATTGAAGCTGCTTCATCACGCACCGTGAGCAAGAATGAATGACTTTGCTAACCTGTAGTACCTGTGTGGTTTTGAGCCGAGTGTTCATTTAATCTTGCTGGTGGCAAAACATGGTTTTTAACTTTTACAGCCAACTGCTCTCACTACTGAAGTAACCACCACAAGCTCTAGGGATTAAGATCAGGGGGAGGGGGGGAGGGGGGGGGTTGAACCTATCATCTTGTACAAGTTTTTATGGAACTTTCAGGATCTTCTACCCAGAGAATTGATGAGTGATATTTAAGAAGTACCAAGATTATCACCAGAGATAGGCTATACTGTACCTGATTTATACAAGGGCCACTAACACTACAAGCCTCGACTAGGACAGGAAGCTGGTGGCTTGTCAAAAGGCCCCCCCCCCCAATTTCCTTGGAGATATATATATATATATATATATAGATATATATATATATATAATATATATATAGATATATATATATATAATTATTAATACACATACACACACACACACAATGTATATAGAGGATATAGAGGTATATATACAGTATATATGAAATATATGGATATGGAGGGCACCACCTCTGGTTGTGTTTGTAGGGACCCTCACCCTTGAAGAGGAGGATATGAGGCACCTGGAGGAACCTTGTATGGCTCTCACATACAGTCTCCCACTATACATATATACACATACACACACACGAAGGTAAGATAAGTTGCAAGAGCATATATGATGGCGAGTATATTCTTGCAAAACCACTAACACTCATAGCGCAAATATACTCTCCCAATGAATATAACTCACGATAACTAAAAACATTTAAACCATGAAATACAATTTAAATGAATGACTACACACATTCCGCAGATAATGATAATTACAAGTTATATAACACTTCTCAAGACGTAGCACCGGGAACAACGCAATCTTCACCTCCACTAACTACTAACTAACTAAAGGACTCTTGTCACTAACTACCACCTGGAGGCCCCGCACTGTAACCAGCACAATAGAGAGAGAGAGAGACTCTCTGACACCTACATTTAGCGCAAAATTCCTGAGTATGCCGGCCATGCTGAGATCAGGTGTTGTTGTTGTTGAGGGTAGCGAAGGTCAGCTGACACAGCCCGCGTGCCCAGCTGATCAAACAAGAAACATATGAACAGCGCTTAAAAAAAATCATCCACAGTATTTATTTATTTACTTATTTATTTATATACAAGGAGGTACAATGGGTTTAGAGAGTAAATAACATTGATGTTTTTACCTTCTTGTAAAGCCACTAGCACGCATAGCGTTTGGGGCAGTAATAGCACTTGGAACCTTAATTTTTATAATGATAAATAATAAATAGTCAAAATGTGTAATTGTGAAATAATTATGTTTAATTTATATAAAAAAAGAGATCGCCTCGATTTGTCGGTGACAGGAAGCCTGTGTATGTAATTAATTGACATATCAATTTGTGACACTAGCTCTCCACATATGTCAGTTGCTTAATTTAGAAACTGTACTTGTGGTCGGTCTCGAGCCCATTGATGATGTAACGATGTAAAATGAATTTTGTAACTAGCTCATCAAGATTGTAACTTGCTTAGCTAAATGAATTGTGGGGTTCAGTCCCTGAGCCCATTATGTCGGTCCATAGAATTACCCCAATCACCCAAATCAGGCCAAAACTACCCAAAACGTATTAGCATTACGTAAGTAATGAAGAAATATGGTATATTTACTTACTATAATGTTGGTGCTACACGTAGAACATGATCAAACCTATTTTTCTCTGAAATAATCTAATTTCATAACGAAATGAGACGTAAATATGTGAGAGGTGACGCCATAGGAAGTCGACGGTCCAAGCGACAATTGTGTGGAGCGACTTATCCAAGAAATATGGTCGCCAGGAGAGTGTTTGCTGCCATATCAGTCCTCCTGTACACAGTGATCCAGTCCTTTTCGTTCATTGAACACCGAACCCTAGGATACAAGACACTCCGTACATTGACAACATCGCACACTAATATTTTTACCACTTCGGACACCAGCTTTAGACGTTTCGCATATGTGTACGTGTTCCATATTAAAAACGACAATATAATGCTATTAACATTAAAATCTTCTATTTAACAGGCATATAGTTATTAAATGAAGTTTAGTGATGTAATAGACATAATCCGGAGTTGGTAAGGACGCCGCCCGCCAGCGTAAACACAACACACCCGAATGCCCACAAACACGATACAACGCACAAAACACACCTTCTGTCAGTTTTTGGATAAACTCCTTTTATATTATTATGTGAGAGTTATACATGTATAAAATGATAACTATTATAGGTAAGCGCCTAATATTTAATATTAATCAATAAAAAAGAAGTCAGAAGCCACACGCCTGTCTGTACATGTCTTTTGTGTAAAAGTATTTGGGCACTCATGTACTTGTGCGCTAGCTGGCGTTCACAACTGTTCTCGCCTACAAGCATTAGAATTAACAAAACATTTATTTTTTCATTTATATACAAGAAGAGAAGGCTACCCTTGAGTCTGTAATATTCATCTGATCACTGGTCTCCCATTTGGTCCTCATTGCTTTATCTTACTATTATTGAATGTCAATAACCGTATTATGCAATTTCAATTTCTTCTATTTCTTTCTTTATTATGCACCCCATACCCATCCCGTGGGCGGTGGTGTAAAGGATTACAGAGGCACATAATCAGTTCAGGAACTGAACCCTCTAGTTCGTTTAGCTAAGCAAATAACAATGTTTGACGCTAGTTACAAAATTATTAATGTTGTATACACATGTACACACACTATACATATATATATATATATATATATATATATATATATATATATATATATATATAATATATATATATATATATATATATATTATATATATATATATATATAATATATGCGAACAAGCCTGAATGGTCCCCAGGACAATATGCAACTGAAAACTCACACCCCAGAAGTGACTCGAACCCATACTCCCAGGAGCCACGCAACTGGTATGTACAAGACGCCTTAATCCACTTGACCATCACGACCGGACATAATGAGGTGATAGCCGAGGCTATTTGAACCCCCCACCGCCGGCACTCGGATAGTAATCTTGGGCATAGCATTTTACCAAATCACCTCATTCTTTGGGGCACACGTGAGGAACACAAATGCGAACAAGCCTGAATGGTCCCCAGGACAATATGCAACTGAAAACTCACACCCCCGAAGTGACTCGAACCCATACTCCCAGGAGCCACGCAACTGGTATGTACAAGACGCCTTAATCCACTTGACCATCACGACCGGACATAATGAGTAGGGTTCGAGTCACTTCTGGGGTGTGAGTTTTCAGTTGCATATTGTCCTGGGGACCATTCAGGCTTGTTCAGTTGGAGATACCAACTTTAATATACAAAAAAGCCTCCAGATCTTTAGCCCCTGCTATTGCTTTGCTCTTCAACAAGTCACTTGAACTCCAAACCTTTCCAGATATTCTAAAAAAAGCGAGAGTAACGCCTGTCCACAAATGTGGTGATCCCACGATGTTAACAACTACAGACCTATATCAATCCTGCCAAACTTGTCAAAAATTTTTGAAAAACTTATATACAAGCAGCTTTACTCATATCTAGCCAAACTCATATACTTAGCCCTTGCCATATGGCTTCAGACCCAAAAAAAGCACTAACGATGCACTCATTAGTATGCTTAACTCGATTCATACAGCCCTTGATAAAAAGGAGCTCCCTGTTGGGTTATTTGTGGACCTGCGTAAAGCTTTTGATACTGTCAACCACCATAACCTTCTTCTTAAATTACATCATATGGAGTCAGAGGGCACTCCCTACAATACCTCGAGTCCTACCTTACTGACAGGCTCCAATATGTTTCTGTGAATAATACAATTTCTCCCACCCTACCCATCAACATTGGTGTTCCTCAGGGCAGCATACTTGGCCCTCTCCTCTTTCTCATCTACATTAATGACCTTCCAAATGCCTCCCAACACCTCAAACCAATTCTATTTGCTGACGACACAACCTTCATTTACTCCAGTCCTGACCCTCTTGCTCTAAATCCACAGTAAATACTGAGCTAAATAAAGTCCATCATTGGCTAACTGCCAACAAACTCACCCTTAACATTGACAAAACCTTCTATATTCTGTTTGGCAATAAATCCTCTAGTCTTATAAATCTCAAAATAAACAATACCCAAATTTGTAACAAATTAGATGGCAAATTCCTTGGCATTCTCATTGACAACAAGCTGAATTTCCAGGGACACATTCTAAATATATCAAAAAAAGTTTCAAAAACTGTGGGCATTCTTTCTAAGATCAGATATTATGTACCACGCCCTGCTCTGGTGACTCTCTATTACTCCCTTATCTATCCTTATCTCAACTATGGTATTTGTGCTTGGGGTTCTACTACCCAAAATCACTTACGTCCTCTAATTACCCAACACAAAGCCGCTATTAGAACAATATCCAACTCTGGCCCCAGACATCACTCGGTACCCCTACTCAAATCTCTTAATATGTTAGATATTAAGTCACTGCACATTCTCTCATGTGTATTATACATATATAAAACGCTAAACTATAATGCCAATCCTGATCTTAAAAGCTTCATAGAAGGTTGTAACAGAACCCATGAGCACCACACCAGAAATAAATACAGTTTTGATATTCCTAGAGTACGTCTTAATCAACTAGAAATGCTCTGCAAATCAAGGGGCCCAGAATGTGGAATGACCTTCCCAACCATGTTAAAGACTGTCCCTCTCTCAACCAGTTAAGATAAAACTAAACACTACCTATAAATTCCCTGTAATCTACCTCACTCCTCTATTGTCAACCCATTCTGTTATTTTCTTTTTTTTTTCTTTTTTGTAATCAACACTGTTTGTCAACCTATTGTATTTGTGCTGCTTTTTCAGTCATGTTCCCCCTTTTTTTTTTATCTTTATTTGTATTTGTTCTCAACATCTTTTATTCTTTATGCTCAATTAGTATTAATTCTAGTGTTCGCATTTGTGTTCCTCACGTGTGCCCCAAAGAATGAGGTGATTTGGTAAAATGCTATGCCCAAGATTACTATCCGAGTGCCGGCGGTGGGGTGGTTCAAATAGCCTCGGCTATCACCTCATTATGTCCGGTCGTGATGGTCAAGTGGATTAAGGCGTCTTGTACATACCAGTTGCGTTGCTTCTGGGAGTATGGGTTCGAGTCACTTCTGGGTGTGAGTTTTCAGTTGCATATTGTCCTGGGGACCATTCAGGCTTGTTCGCATTTGTGTTCCTCACGTGTGCCCCAAAGAATGAGGTGATTTGGTAAAATGCTATGCCCAAGATTACTATCCGAGTGCCGGCGGTGGGGTGGTTCAAATAGCCTCGGCTATCACCTCATTATGTCCGGTCGTGATGGTCAAGTGGATTAAGGCGTCTTGTACATACCAGTTGCGTTGCTTCTGGGAGTATGGGTTCGAGTCACTTCTGGGGTGTGAGTTTTCAGTTGCATATTGTCCTGGGGACCATTCAGGCTTGTTCGCATTTGTGTTCCTCACGTGTGCCCCAAAGAATGAGGTGATTTGGTAAAATGCTATGCCCAAGATTACTATCCGAGTGCCGGCGGTGGGGTGGTTCAAATAGCCTCGGCTATCACCTCATTATGTCCGGTCGTGATGGTCAAGTGGATTAAGGCGTCTTGTACATACCAGTTGCGTTGCTTCTGGGAGTATGGGTTCGAGTCACTTCTGGGGTGTGAGTTTTCAGTTGCATATTGTCCTGGGGACCATTCAGGCTTGTTCGCATTTGTGTTCCTCACGTGTGCCCCAAAAGAATGAGGTGATTTGGTAAAATGCTATGCCCAAGATTACTATCCGAGTGCCGGCGGTGGGGTGGTTCAAATAGCCTCGGCTATCACCTCATTTTGTCCGGTCGTGATGGTCAAGTGGATTAAGGCGTCTTGTACATACCAGTTGCGTTGCTTCTGGGAGTATGGGTTCGAGTCACTTCTGGGGTGTGAGTTTTCAGTTATCAGGCTTGTTCGCATATATATATATATATATATATAATATATATATATATATATATATATATATATATATATATATATATTCGCTAAGATTTCGGGCAGCATATCATTATGAATGAAGTACTTACACATTTCATTATGCAACTTTAATAAAGTTGTCCTTCAGCCTTTTGTAGTGTTCAGCTACCCTTATCTTCTGTATGTTCCTCACATTACCAGTATACACAAACATTGACATGTAGGGATAGAGACTCTCAGGTAAGTTAGTAATTTAAATGCACAGTAGCAGTCCTAGGCGTTCAATCCCCGACCGCCGTCCAAGTGGTTTGGCACCATTCCTCCCCATCCCATCCCAAATCCTTATCCTGATCCCTTCCCAGTGTTAAATAGTTGTAATATATATATATATATATATATATCTATATATATATATATATATATATATATATAATATATATAATATATATACTCTTCACACCTTACTCTGTACCCTTACTCTTCTGTCTTCCAGTGTCATGAGGTGCATTTCTCGCAGCCTGTCCTCGTAACTCATGCCTCTTAGTCCTGGGACTAGCCTATTGGCATACCATTAAACTTTTCAAGCTTCGTCCTGTGCTTGACAAGGTGTGTGTGTGTGTACGTGTATAACACACACGTACTTATGTGGTACGTATGTACTACATAATTGTAAGGCGTTTGCTGAATTAGAAAAGTCGGCTAGCAGTCCACCCTTAACGACACAATTAACTCATTACATAAAAAAAATACGTGGCTGTGCAACAGTGTGTGGGAATTGGGGAACTGGTGTGCATTTAGACGACTGGTGAGGACCAACAATGACGTAGAAGGATGGCACCAGCGTCTGAATCAATGGGCAGTGAGGGACAACTTGGCTTTATATATTTTAATCCCCTTACTGTACCGTGAGGCGTCCCTGGTAACCTTGCAATACCAACTGGTTTCTGATCAAAAGCTAAAGTCCAGTCGCCGCAAGAGCAATGAAGAGAAACAGGAACATTTGTGGAAGCTTGGGACCGTTACGAGGAAACAGATAAGCACCTCACAGTTCCTCAAGGAATGTTCGCGTTTTCCCAGGAAGTGCCTGAACTAGAATTAGAAAACAGCAGTCTGTTTACTGGTTTGTTATTTAACTTAAGTTAGTTGTAAATGATAATGTAAAAATAGCCACTGAGAACTGATGAGTTGCCCAAGACTTTTGCTCGTAAAGAGGGAATTGATTACAAACTTGGACTGCCTTTGAGCAGCCTGAGGGCAGCAATATCCCAGGAACATCAGCTAAATTTCGGAGACTTGAAGCAAAGTGAAATTCACACCAGTTACTCCATCTATCATCATTCTATTATGCAGGAGAAACCGCACGTCTATGGGTCATCCAATAATGTTAGCAGACTTCTAGATGTTACCACTGCTAGGCTTAGGTTCGGCTACAAGTACCTCTGGGAGTTTGTAACATCTGCTGATGTAGATTTGACTAAATGTAAACTCTGTCAGCAGAACTATTCGCTTACTTGCGCCATTATATATGGAATGTGAAAAAATCGCGGAATTTAGGGATAACACCATCAATAGTGTCCAAAAATGTGTAAGTACTTCATTCATAATGATGTGCTGCTCGAAATCTTAGCGAAGTATCCAAATTTGCTTACTGTAGGTAATGCTGCACATAACTGTAAAGTTGCCGCCCAGTTGTGGGTGTGGAGCAAATGACTGTAAAGCTGCAAGACTAGTAACTGTGTGACTCACCATAGATGTAAAGTGCCTTGTATAGTGACTGTTGTGAGCCTCTTATTGATCACTTGTGACACAAAGATTATTGATGTGTGTATTTGTGTAGGTGATTAGATATGTATGTGCATGTATATATGTATACGTATATATATATATGTACATTGTCACGTGGGGGTGGGCGGTCCGGGGCTCTGCTAACACTCGGCTGCTAGGGCTCAAAGGCCCAAATACTCAGCCCCTCCGACTCCCTGGATTCACCGAGTCTCCTTGGTCACACAAGATAGGACCAACAATGCCCACCTCCGCAGGTCTTTGCTTCCACCACAAAGGGGTGCCACTGATTCACCCTGGAAGCCCTTCAGTCAACCACGGGGAAACTGCTGTTAACAGTTCCGGCCTAGACCCGTGGGGAGTGAAGGAAGACTCAGGCTTACCTATAACCATAACCTCCCTGAGTCTTGCCTGCCAGACAAAAAAAGGTTGCAGGAACTCCTTTCCCGCCTGTCTTCTCTATCTTCCTCTTAGCAAGGTCGCCAGCTGGGTTATTATATCTGCACCCCAGCAATGCAGTTCAGTGGGTGTATCATATATCGTTTGTAGCCAGAAATGTATGCTCATAGAGAAAATCACAAATGGAGGCACACTCAAACACAGTAATAAAATGTGTGGATTTACTGACGCAAATTACATGAACACACACACACAATCACAAGTAATACATGAATATGGGAATATGGATAATAAGTCTGGAGATCGTCAGCCTCTTCTTCCACGACCTCCAACACCCTTCAAATGGGCAGGAAGACCGGAGTCTCACACTCTCACAGGAGGGCCTCTTCACCACGTCGGCACCTCTTCTTCCCTGTCCTGCCATCCATACACACTGTCCTCTCTGACAGTCCTGGACACAAGCTGCCTTGCAGCCTACTCTACTATTAAAGTAATAAAGTCTTGCTGCCACATACACGAGTAAATATTGTGGCCTAACTAGCCTACTCATACAAGGGGTAATGGGAGGAAAAATGATCTACCTTACACTCCTGGCTCACGACGCCTGTCCCTCGATGGTGTGAGGTTCCCACGCTTCCTTGGGTCGATCCTCGACGATCCAGGGCGTTCCACAGGTCCTCAGGTGTCGTGAAGCCTTCGCGTCGTCGCCGTTCCAATCCCTGAGATTCAGCTGCCCCAATCCTGGTTCATCGATGGGCGCTGAGCTAATCACTTTTTTCCCCCCACTCGCCTCTCCCACAGGCGTCGCTCCTTGTCCTAGGCACGGTGTCGTCCTTCAAAGATTCTCAGTGGATGTGACCCCAGTCACAGCTAGCTTGCTCGCCCACCTTCCAGACCTCAACGTCCAGCCAGCGGCGCCGCCCAGCGTCGTCGCCGACTATTTTCAAGTTTGGGCACTTCTCTGCTCACTGAACTTGGTTCCTCTTTTGCTTCCCAGAAGCGCAGGGTCTCCAATAACGGTGGTAGGCTGCGCAGGCCAGCTCAATCCACTGAACAAGGCTTGCAGAGCCTCCTCCCTGAGAGCAGACCGCGGCGCGTCCTGTCGCTTCCACGGTCAGTACAACTCTGACGTTGGCGCCGCCCGGGCGCACTCGGTGACGTCATGGCGGGCCCTGATTTGTCGCCCGCGACCTACGTCGACCAATCCGCGATCGACTAATTTCCCTTCCAAAAGGTCACATCTGCCGTAGGGGATACTGTTTCATTTTATAACAGGGCGCCTATTTTCCTTTATTTACAACTTATAATATAACTTCCATGCCCTTAACTGGCAGCCGGTCTGGTCGCCACATATATCATTAGACTCCCTGAACCTCAGAGAATCAGTAGGGAGAGCTGATATGACTCTTTAAGCCGGCAAACGAAAGAAGTAGGAGGGGCACCGTAACATACCCCTCCCCTTAAAATAAGAGTCATATCGGAAGAGCAGCACTCAAGAGGGCAATCTATACTCTTGCTCCCTCCGTTCCTGAAGTGTCACTCCTCCAGTTGGCGAGTGGCTCGTTCCACCTTGCCAGTCACTTGTCTCATTATATCTCCACCTCGCATAGGACCGGGTGTGATGGGTGTTCCCTGAACACCTACAAGAAATCCTCTCTCCGTGGCTACGAGTGTACTCCCACGGCTCGTTACCACTGTAAGATTTAGTGCGCAGGCGCCTCCACCGCGTCGTGCACTCCGAGATAGTCTTGCATTTCCACTGCGTCCTACAGGTACTCCATGTTTCCTCCCATGATCTCCTCTTCGCCAATCTTCTCTCTTCTCGGTTCCTCTTCTCCCGTAGGTGCGTTGTCTCCTCACAGTGGCACTTGTAACCTGTACTCCATCCAGCAGCTCCCTCTCTTCCACACTAGGCTTTTGCGATGGCCAATGCCCCTCTGGTTAGGCTGGCGCCTACCCTGGGAGTACCTATTCCCTGCTTTCTTCGTATTGCCTTTCCTATACCACTCGCTCCTTCGTTCCCGACGAACATCTTCACTCCTCCATGAGATTTTCTTCCCTGCAGACGTCTTCTTCGGTTCGGGTTGGGCTCTTCCACCTCCCTGTGGCTCACCTCACTACGGTGGTTCGTCTTGCACCTACCACTATTCATCTGGCCGGCATAGGGTGCCTTGCGTCGTGGCTCCTCCACTCTGCCCCTCACTGCCGTTCGCTCATCCACTGAGCTTACTTTATTCACCATAGATGCTCATTTAATGACAAGCAAGACATTTCAAGAGCATCTCTGGCAGTGAAGTTAGTTGTGAATAGATTATATAAATGGAAAAAATAAAGGCTTGAACAACTGATCTATGTAATTGTATTTGTCATAACAAGGCCTATGGAGAACAAAAAAAAATATTACAGAAAATACTTTAGATAATGAAATGGAAAGAAATTAATTGCACAATTTGTATATGGTGTTAAAAGAAATAGAGCAGTGCTGAGTAAAGTTATTGTGACCATTCAGCTTTAGTACAGTACCTGTACTTATAGGATAATAGAAGTTATGGATAACTGCACAAGTCAGCTCCAGCACAAGTCAGATAAGCAGATAACTAACACTGATAAATCAGTATTGTAATTGGCAATACAGAAGGCCTCATTTTAAAACTGATGTGCATGTTCATTATTGTAACTAATGGATGTTAACAATATTTAACAAATTAACATGTGTTGTGATAACCCTTAAATGTGTTAAAAGATGAAAAAACCTGAGAATAATAGTTATCAACAGATGGGGGAGACAAGGTGCACTGAAAACTATCATCAATTCATTGCAATTCTTATAAAGTTGATATGCATAGTACAGAATTTGCAACATGAGAAAACTCACTATGATAAATACACATTATGACAAGACTTTTAGAGCCATACATTTCAACATGTACAACCCAATACGAACCTTCCTTGGCATATTATCCCATGCCAGGTGGGAAAAGTGGGAGTCTGTGGACACTCCTAACACCTCGCAGTCCAGTGTTCTGAACGCTGCAACATGCTCACTGAAGGCAATCAGCTCGGTTGGGCAGACAAAAGTGCTTTTAAAGAAAAAGAAAAAACAAAGTTTCCTCAGTCATCTAAAATACATTAAATACTTCTTTATTAATAATAAATGATAGTTTAGCAAGTTTATTCAAGCCTATCCTACTTGGTTGCTTCTCTAGGAAAGATCTTGCTGGTCTCAGAAATGTCACACATAGCAAATCAACATTCCACACTGGTGCAACAACAATCTTTCCAAATGTCCATGACAGATCATATACTTGGGCAAGGATAAGACAGGAGAACTCAATCCAGTACAATTTCCTTGTACTCCTACCGTCCATGCTCAATCACATGGGCTGGACAGTAGAGCAATTACCTAGCTTCATGCAGTTTGGTGTTCAATTCCTGCCTGTCCCAAGTGGCTGGACACCATTCCTTCCTCCTGTCCCATCCCAAATCCTTATCCTGATCCCTTCCCACTGCTACACAGTCGTAATGGCTTGGCACTTCTAATAGTATAGATTGAAGGGAAGGGAACCATCTTGAGACAACTAGCAAGTGGTAACTTGGAGATGTGAAGTTCATAGACTTGAAGACCATCAGTTTATCCCGTACATTTTAGGCAGGTGGAGACAAAAACACCTCATTTAAGAAAAGCGTTCATCATCTGAAACTTATTTCCCTCTGCAACTTTTGCTATTACTGCATGCATCCAATGTGTGCACACAATCATTTGCATGTCTCTGGACTTAATCACTGTCAAGTTCTCACGAGCATCAGCCATGAAACTTACCTTTCAAGTTTACTATAACATTTATGGCTCCCTGGAAGCCAAGTTCTGTGGGCATTTGGGTTGAAACACATTCAAGGCATATTTGATTACTGGCTGCACTTTGCTTCCCTCCCCCTCCCCATCTTGTTTTTGGGTTACACAGGTATAGGTCAGGGAATGGTGTGAACACTTCCATAAAACTTTGGTTTCTTCTTCTTCGCATGTTAGTCCAGGGTGGAAGTCCCTGCAACCAAGTATTGACTATGGCCAAAATTGTACTACGATATATTTGAAAGCCATGACAAACATAACACAGGAATTAGCAAAACTGCATAGTGAAGATTTGAAATGGTGTTTTTTCCAACTCTAAAAGCCTTTCCTTTCACCACTGGAATTTCCTGTTGAGGCAGGACTGTTGGCAAAGGGGCATCTCTTCCTCCCCAGGAAACTCTGGGGAGAAAGGGGAGCTTAGAAATAAAGCTTCAAGTCTTGTCGTAGTCTTATGTCTTTTAGAAAGGTGCTAGTAGACTACTAGCACCTTTCTGAGCAGGCTACTTTTATTAATTCTCATTTCTTTCCCAAGGTTTAAGTTTTGAAGCTGTTTAAGTCGGGTAGAATGCAAGGCCACCTGGAAGTCCTAGCTAGCCAGTCTCCGATTCCAAACACTCGGGAGAACTTTTAATTTATATATGCAAGCTTTCCAGAGATTAGGCCAGGCTGGAATTCAGTACAGTAGTTGTCACCATCTCCCTTGTACGAGCAGAAGGTGGAAATGACATTTGAAGAGGCATGTACCTGCTGTCCATCCACTCTGTCCATGCACAGAGTCCATCACCACAATATTAGTGATGTAGTCAGGTAGTGGCAGTTTTTCCTGGCAAGGCCCATTCAATTTTAAATTAAAAAAAAAAAATTTAGTTACAGAATTTTAGACTTCTGTACAACTGTAGTATTTGGTACAATACTGTACCCAACTCATTCCATGCAAAGATTTATAAACTGCCTATAAACTGCCCTCTACTTAACATTGTCTACTATAATAGACACAGTCTAGATAAACCTGTCAAGTTCTGTTTAAGTTCCCTACTATGGTACAGAAGCATCACTGTCACTGGAACAGACTGAGCAATTTCTGACCTTAAATTCTGACACTGAACCGTTCATAGTCGTGCTACTGACACCAATGTTTACCAACATTTCTTATTCCTATTTCACACAGAATTCCCATATGCCCATACTTTGTGAGAATAACATTTTTATGCTTAAACTTATGAATTTTCATGTATAAATTATGAGACTATGTTTCAAAGAGTCTAGCCAAAGTAATAAAATAAGAGCGCCGAGTTTACAAGAGCTTTACTAACAGTTTACATAATAGAAGAGCTTGTGTGATTTAACCAAGTTGACTTTTCTCCCCCACAGGATGAAATCTGGCAATAACAGGAAAAATTTAATTACTACAAATATACCCCCCACCCCATCACCTCCCATTTGTCTCTAAAATGTAGATTATGTTGAACCATAAAGTTGATCTAGGCCCAAATCCACAAAAAGCCATGTTTAAATGTTTCTCAATATACATAGCCCCAACACTTGAACATTTGCAATTTATTAAATTAGAGTGTAAAGTTTAACGTAAATTTCCCAATTATTAAAGCAGGACCATGTTGCTAGGCTAGCAAGATGCTATTGTAAATGTTAAAGTTTATAATTTCCAACCCCCAGATGCATTTAGCATAAACAGCAATTCCAACAAAATCAGAATGAACACATTCTTTGACTATTACAGGTATTTCTGCAACTATTCCTCGGCCCTTAAATGGTTAATTTAATTTCAAATGGTTTAACTAATCAAGTTCTACATCATGGTGTGCTACAATGCCACAACAGTTCATATAAGTGTAAAAAAAATAGCACTTGACAATTGAAGCATTTGAGGTAACTGCAGATTGTGGTCGAGGCTATTTAAGGGTCAAAATGGCACACACACACAATAAAGAGTTACTCACAAGTCAAGAGGATAGAAGAAGAGTACAAGGTATTTGCCTCTGTAGTCCTCGAGGGTAATCTCCTTGAACTGCCCCCCTACTACTGCTTGACCCTTGAAGCTGGGTGCTGGCTTGGTGACGGCAACGGCTAAGCATCGTGAGGTAGTAGAAAAGTGGCGGTGCACTCTCACACTGGATAGTGTGCTGCGTGCAGCCTACGGATAAAACGCCACAATTAGTTACCATACTAGCACTGTAGTTTATCTAGCCCTCATGCATTTTTAAAATAGCTAGTCCAAGTACAAATCAGTTAGTTCTAGAAATTTGTTAAAAGCCCTGTGGTCTCATGGTTAGCTCACTCAAATGTTTCAAACAAGATGACCCAGGTTGAAGCTCATGGCTCACGGTGTCATGACAACACTATTCCTTCACAGTTTGCCCCCTCTGCAGACCTGGATGTAAAATGAGTGCAGCATGTTCGAGAAACCAAATAAGGCAAGGATTTAAAATAAGATGTGGGAGGGAGAGGTCCTGCAAATCTCATTAATCATCTAACCAGTCATAATATAAATGATACAGTGCTCATAATATAAATGAAGGCAAAGGCTAGGATAGCAAAGTACTGCCCTGTTTTGCAATTATTTTGCAAAACCTATTTTTCTTCATATGCTACTATTCTTTATTAATTTTCCTTTTAGCTTACCAAACACTAGAGGGTGTATAAGTTAGGCATGTTCACTGTACAATCAACCATGTAGTTAAGCCCTACAACCAATCATAATGTGCAAGAATGATACATTCCCTCATTCATTGCGATTTGACGACTTGTACTGAATTTTGTAACTAGCTCATTCAGATTGTAACTTGCTTAGTTAAATGAATTGTGGGGTTCAGCCCATTATGTGCCTCTGTAACCCTTTCCACTACCGCCCACAAGATGGGTATGGGGTGCATAATAAATGAATTAAACTAACTCAAAAGCACAGTCGAGTTTGTTGCAGACTTTAAATCAAGAATCCCAAGTTTGAATCCTGGCACGTTTCCTATTGCCTAAAGGCACTGTACATCTAAAGGCAAGTAATATAGGTACGTGGGAATTAATCAACTTTTAAGGTTACATCATGGGGAGGGTCTAGAGCTTGGGGATGGGGAATCTTGATACAAGCCTTATATGTATACTGTATATACACAGGCTGCCTGCCTGAATTATTTAAATAAAATTCTTTGTGCCAGTGTTAAAAGTGCTTAATGTGGATACAGTGCTGCACTATTTTAATTTAGGTCCATAGTGCTGTACAATCTAGATACAGGATATCGTAACTTATTAACTTTGCCTGTAAACAGCTCCTGAACCTGCAAAATGCAAGTTGCCCAATTCTGTAAGTGTTCATAGGTTTGTTTAATTTAGGTAGGCTATTAGAGTTCTGCAAGTTATCCCTACAAACTAAAACATTTGAAATAAACTTTAAGCAGTAGTCAGCACAGTGGCTCAATTTAACGATCCAGGAAGTTAGCCAACTTGTCGGTTGCTTTCTGCGAGTAGTCGATAGTTGGCCAAAGTACACACATTGAAGCTGCTTCATCACGCACCGTGAGCAAGAATGAATGACTTTGCTAACCTGTAGTACCTGTGTGGTTTTGAGCCGAGTGTTCATTTAATCTTGCTGGTGGCAAAAACATGGTTTTTAACTTTTACAGCCAACTGCTCTCACTACTGAAGTAACCACCACAAGCTCTAGGGATTAAGATCAGGGGGAGGGGGGGAGGGGGGGGGTTGAACCTATCATCTTGTACAAGTTTTTATGGAACTTTCAGGATCTTCTACCCAGAGAAGTGATGAGTGATATTTAAGAAAGTACCAAGATTATCACCAGAGATAGGCTATACTGTACCTGATTTATACAAGGGCCACTAACACTACAAGCCTCGACTAGGACAGGAAGCTGGTGGCTTGTCAAAAGGCCCCCCCCCCCCCAATTTGCCTTGGAGATATATATATATATATATATATAGATATATATATATATATATATATATATATGATATATATATATATAATTATATATACATACACACACACACACAATGTATATAGAGGATATAGAGGTATATATACAGTATATATGAAATATATGGATATGGAGGGCACCACCTCTGGTTGTGTTTGTAGGGACCCTCACCCTTGAAGAGGAGGATATGAGGCACCTGGAGGAACCTTGTATGGCTCTCACATACAGTCTCCCACTATACATATATACACATACACACACACACGAAGGTAAGATAAGTTGCAAGAGCATATATGATGGCGAGTATATTCTTGCAAAACCACTAACACTCATAGCGCAAATATACTCTCCCAATGAATATAACTCACGATAACTAAAAACATTTAAACCATGAAATACAATTTAAATGAATGACTACACACATTCCGCCAGATAATGATAATTACAAGTTATATAACACTTCTCAAGACGTAGCACCGGGAACAACGCAATCTTCACCTCCACTAACTACTAACTAACTAAAGGACTCTTGTCACTAACTACCACCTGGAGGCCCCGCACTGTAACCAGCACAATAGAGAGAGAGAGAGAGACTCTCTGACACCTACATTTAGCGCAAAATTCCTGAGTATGCCGGCCATGCTGAGATCAGGTGTTGTTGTTGTTGAGGGTAGCGAAGGTCAGCTGACACAGCCCGCGTGCCCAGCTGATCAAAACAAGAAACATATGAACAGCGCTTAAAAAAAAATCATCCACAGTATTTATTTATTTACTTATTTATTTATATACAAGGAGGTACAATGGGTTTATGAGAGTAAATAACATTGATGTTTTTACCTTCTTGTAAAGCCACTAGCACGCATAGCGTTTGGGGCAGTAATAGCACTTGGAACCTTAATTTTTATAATGATAATAATAATAAATAGTCAAAATGTGTAATTGTGAAATAATTATGTTTAATTTATATAAAAAAAAGAGATCGCCTCGATTTGTCGGTGACAGGAAGCCTGTGTATGTAATTAATTGACATATCAATTTGTGACACTAGCTCTCCACATATGTCAGTTGCTTAATTTAGAAACTGTACTTGTGGTCGGTCTCGAGCCCATTGATGATGTAACGATGTAAAATGAATTTTGTAACTAGCTCATCAAGATTGTAACTTGCTTAGCTAAATGAATTGTGGGGTTCAGTCCCTGAGCCCATTATGTCGGTCCATAGAATTACCCCAATCACCCAAATCAGGCCAAAACTACCCAAAACGTATTAGCATTACGTAAGTAATGAAGAAATATGGTATATTTACTTACTATAATGTTGGTGCTACACGTAGAACATGATCAAACCTATTTTTTCTCTGAAATAATCTAATTTCATAACGAAATGAGACGTAAATATGTGAGAGGTGACGCCATAGGAAGTCGACGGTCCAAGCGACAATTGTGTGGAGCGACTTATCCAAGAAATATGGTCGCCAGGAGAGTGTTTGCTGCCATATCAGCCTCCTGTACACAGTGATCCAGTCCTTTTCGTTCATTGAACACCGAACCCTAGGATACAAGACACTCCGTACATTGACAACATCGCACACTAATATTTTTACCACTTCGGACACCAGCTTTAGACGTTTCGCATATGTGTACGTGTTCCATATTAAAACGACAATATAATGCTATTAACAATTAAAATCTTCTATTTAACAGGCATATAGTTATTAAATGAAGTTTAGTGATGTAATAGACATAATCCGGAGTTGGTAAGGACGCCGCCCGCCAGCGTAAACACAACACACCCGAATGCCCACAAACACGATACAACGCACAAAACACAACACTTCTGTCAGTTTTTGGATAAACTCCTTTTATATTTATTATGTGAGAGTTATACATGTATAAAATGATAACTATTATAGGTAAGCGCCTAATATTTAATATTAATCAATAAAAAAGAAGTCAGAAGCCACACGCCTGTCTGTACATGTCTTTTGTGTAAAAGTATTTGGGCACTCATGTACTTGTGCGCTAGCTGGCGTTCACAACTGTTCTCGCCTACAAGCATTAGAATTAAACAAACATTTATTTTTTCATTTATATACAAGAAGAGAAGGCTACCCTTGAGTCTGTAATATTCATCTGATCACTGGTCTCCCATTTGGTCCTCATTGCTTTATCTTACTATTATTGAATGTCAATAACCGTATTATGCAATTTCAATTTCTTCTATTTCTTTCTTTATTATGCACCCCATACCCATCCCGTGGGCGGTGGTGTAAAGGATTACAGAGGCACATAATCAGTTCAGGAACTGAACCCTCTAGTTCGTTTAGCTAAGCAAATAACAATGTTTGACGCTAGTTACAAAATTATTAATGTTGTATACACATGTACACACACTCATACATATATATATATATATATATATATATATATATATATATATATATATATATATATATATATATATATATATATATATATTATATATATATATATATATATATATGCGAACAAGCCTGAATGGTCCCCAGGACAATATGCAACTGAAAACTCACACCCCAGAAGTGACTCGAACCCATACTCCCAGGAGCCACGCAACTGGTATGTACAAGACGCCTTAATCCACTTGACCATCACGACCGGACATAATGAGGTGATAGCCGAGGCTATTTGAACCACCCCACCGCCGGCACTCGGATAGTAATCTTGGGCATAGCATTTTACCAAATCACCTCATTCTTTGGGGCACACGTGAGGAACACAAATGCGAACAAGCCTGAATGGTCCCCAGGACAATATGCAACTGAAAACTCACACCCCAGAAGTGACTCGAACCCATACTCCCAGGAGCCACGCAACTGGTATGTACAAGACGCCTTAATCCACTTGACCATCACGACCGGACATAATGAGTATGGGTTCGAGTCACTTCTGGGGTGTGAGTTTTCAGTTGCATATTGTCCTGGGGACCATTCAGGCTTGTTCAGTTGGAGATACCAACTTTAATATACAAAAAAGCCTCCAGATCTTTAGCCCTGCTATTGCTTTGCTCTTCAACAAGTCACTTGAACTCCAAACCTTTCCAGATATTCTAAAAAAAGCGAGAGTAACGCCTGTCCACAAATGTGGTGATCCCACAGATGTTAACAACTACAGACCTATATCAATCCTGCCAAACTTGTCAAAAATTTTTGAAAAACTTATATACAAGCAGCTTTACTCATATCTAGCCAAACTCAATATACTTAGCCCTTGCCAATATGGCTTCAGACCCAAAAAAAGCACTAACGATGCACTCATTAGTATGCTTAACTCGATTCATACAGCCCTTGATAAAAAGGAGCTCCCTGTTGGGTTATTTGTGGACCTGCGTAAAGCTTTTGATACTGTCAACCACCATAACCTTCTTCTTAAATTACATCATTATGGAGTCAGAGGGCACTCCCTACAATACCTCGAGTCCTACCTTACTGACAGGCTCCAATATGTTTCTGTGAATAATACAATTTCTCCCACCCTACCCATCAACATTGGTGTTCCTCAGGGCAGCATACTTGGCCCTCTCCTCTTTCTCATCTACATTAATGACCTTCCAAATGCCTCCCAACACCTCAAACCAATTCTATTTGCTGACGACACAACCTTCATTTACTCCAGTCCTGACCCTCTTGCTCTAAATGCCACAGTAAATACTGAGCTAAATAAAGTCCATCATTGGCTAACTGCCAACAAACTCACCCTTAACATTGACAAAACCTTCTATATTCTGTTTGGCAATAAATCCTCTAGTCTTATAAATCTCAAAATAAACAATACCCAAATTTGTAACAAATTAGATGGCAAATTCCTTGGCATTCTCATTGACAACAAGCTGAATTTCCAGGGACACATTCTAAATATATCAAAAAAAGTTTCAAAAACTGTGGGCATTCTTTCTAAGATCAGATATTATGTACCACGCCCTGCTCTGGTGACTCTCTATTACTCCCTTATCTATCCTTATCTCAACTATGGTATTTGTGCTTGGGGTTCTACTACCCAAAATCACTTACGTCCTCTAATTACCCAACACAAAGCCGCTATTAGAACAATATCCAACTCTGGCCCCAGACATCACTCGGTACCCCTACTCAAATCTCTTAATATGTTAGATATTAAGTCACTGCACATTCTCTCATGTGTATTATACATATATAAAACGCTAAACTATAATGCCAATCCTGATCTTAAAAGCTTCATAGAAGGTTGTAACAGAACCCATGAGCACCACACCAGAAATAAATACAGTTTTGATATTCCTAGAGTACGTCTTAATCAAACTAGAAATGCTCTGCAAATCAAGGGGCCCAGAATGTGGAATGACCTTCCCAACCATGTTAAAGACTGTCCCTCTCTCAACCAGTTTAAGATAAAAACTAAACACTACCTAATAAATTCCCTGTAATCTACCTCACTCCTCTATTGTCAACCCATGTCTGTTATTTCTTTTTTTTTCTTTTTTGTAATCAACACTGTTTGTCAACCTATTGTATTTGTGCTGCTTTTTCAGTCATGTTCCCCCTTTTTTTTTTATCTTTATTTGTATATTGTTCTCAACATCTTTTATTCTTTATGCTCAATTAGTATTAAGTTCTAGATATTAATGTTTTTCTTGCCCGAAACGCATTGCGTAATAGTGGCTTTAGGCATTGTATGTACTAGCTCTATCTATATATCAATCCATTAATGTAACATCACTTGTATGTATATACCTTACCTGAATAAACATCTGAATCTGAATCTGACATCTGTTCGCATTTGTGTTCCTCACGTGTGCCCCAAAGAATGAGGTGATTTGGTAAAATGCTATGCCCCAGATTACTATCCGAGTGCCGGCGTGTGGGGTGGTTCAAATAGCCTCGGCTATCACCTCATTATGTCCGGTCGTGATGGTCAAGTGGATTAAGGCGTCTTGTACATACCAGTTGCGTGGCTCCTGGCAGTATGGGTTCGAGTCACTTCTGGGGTGTGAGTTTTCAGTTGCATATTGTCCTGGGGACCATTCAGGCTTGTTCGCATTTGTGTTCCTCACGTGTGCCCCAAAGAATGAGGTGATTTGGTAAAATGCTATGCCCAAGATTACTATCCGAGTGCCGGCGGTGGGGTGGTTCAAATAGCCTCGGCTATCACCTCATTATGTCCGGTCGTGATGGTCAAGTGGATTAAGGCGTCTTGTACATACCAGTTGCGTGGCTCCTGGGAGTATGGGTTCGAGTCACTTCTGGGGTGTGAGTTTTCAGTTGCATATTGTCCTGGGGACCATTCAGGCTTGTTCGCATTTGTGTTCCTCACGTGTGCCCCAAAGAATGAGGTGATTTGGTAAAATGCTATGCCCAAGATTACTATCCGAGTGCCGGCGGTGGGGTGGGTTCAAATAGCCTCGGCTATCACCTCATTATGTCCGGTCGTGATGGTCAAGTGGATTAAGGCGTCTTGTACATACCAGTTGTGTGGCTCCTGGGAGTATGGGTTCGAGTCACTTCTGGGGTGTGAGTTTTCAGTTGCATATTGTCCTGGGGACCATTCAGGCTTGTGTTCGCATTTGTGTTCCTCACGTGTGCCCCAAAGAATGAGGTGATTTGGTAAAATGCTATGCCCAAGATTACTATCCGAGTGCCGGCGGTGGGGTGGTTCAAATAGCCTCGGCTATCACCTCATTATGTCCCGGTCGTGATGG